GAGATACAAGTGTTCCACTATGTTCGCAAGAAGAAGAAGACAAGCAAAAGAGCATGAGTCAGGATAAGGAAAAATATAGATTCTCTGACAACTTCTCTTCATAGAAAGAAAATATGAATCACACTTACTAAGAATTTGAATCTATACCCTGGTGGTGTGAAGTAAATTATTCGTAAATTAGATTGGTTAGTTGTTGAAAATACAAAAAAGACAATATAATGTATCAAACATCACATTTTTATTAACAGGTAGCAAGTCTCATACCCACTTGCCAGTTAGAGGGTATTGAAGGTGGAATGGAGTCTGAATACTTTGAAACAAGTAAGAACTTAAGAAGCAGTATTGACATAAATACAGTATATCTCAGATATAAAAATATTTTTTCTATTCAATAAAACCATTTGAAAATAAATTAAAAGCAATTGTTTGATTTTTAGACAGATACTAAAATTTCAACAGATGTAATTAATGTAATTAATGTCATTACAGGTCCAACAGAGTCATGTGTGACCACTCAGTCTCCACCAGTGACCGAGGTTTCAGTGGACACCGGCGACAAGTGTGTCCCTGATACCCCAGTGGGAAGCTCTTCATGTGAAGGTTTGTTCACCCAGATATATATATCATACACCAAACAAACTGAACAGGACGCTTGTTATTAAGCCTAATAGCAATATATGTTTTCAATGATTTATCTGCTATTCCATAGTGATATCATTAACCAACTCTTGTTAAATGTTAAATGTTGACTGCTGTTACATTCTTGTGAGGATGAAGCTAGGTTTTCAATTGACTTCTTATTGCAAAATTGCAATTTAATGTTCTAATAATTTTGTCAACAGATTTTATATCATCATTGCACAGTGTACTATCACCTCCCAACGTTGCAGTAAAGCCACCTTTGAAGCAGACAAAAAGGAAACATCATACTGGCAAGTCATTATAATGCATCCATCAATTTCATCATACTGATCCAAGTTATGTAATGTAATTGAAAAATGTTTTCAACGGTAATTTTAGGATTTGATAATTGATGCCAGGCATTTCTTAATTACAGTGGCTGATGATCCATCTGGCGGCGACATTCAGAATATTGTCAAAATTGAAAAGAAAAGTTAGATGTGTTGAGAAGAATAGCTCAGGCAATGGAGGAGCGGAACATCATTGAAAGAGAAAAGTTGGAAATAAAGAAAAGGAGAATGGAGTTTGATTCAGTTTTAAGTATTGACCCTGTTATCAAATTTTGAATGGACTGAACCCTATACTAGGTGGCCTGTCAATGGTAACTAATTGTAAGACCAGACCAATTTCATTTATTGTTTTACAGATTTTTGTCCTCAGAAAACCTAAAGGCAGGAGGAAAAATTATAAAAATAAAATAAAAATAATACTCTTTCTAAATGCTTAAAGTATTTTACTTTTGGCAATTTATGAAGTGTATGTAGAAACTAAAAAACTTTTTCTGGTAAGTTTACATTTTTGGCCAATAAATTCATTATGATATAATTTTTTTGAGAGAGGAAAATTAATATTTACTTTATTTTCTCATTCTCTAGAAAAAAATTACCAGCTGAACCAAGTAAAACAAGAAGTAAAACTGGTCTGGCCTAAAAGATCATTAATGGATATGTATTGCCAGAGAACAGAACCATTATCACCACTTGATGTGTATGTACCTTTCAAGTAAAATAGCAGTAATTTGATAATATAAGATGTTGGTTATTTTGGGCTGCTTTCCCATTTGTCAGCTTATTAAGAAACATCCTTTAATCCCAATTAATATAATTCCTGAAATATTTGACACCAAAATAGCACTTGTATTATGTATTGTATCATAAGATTCTCTTGTTTTTCTATGAATTGTTACACTGTACATATGCATTTAGGAATTTTAAAATATGCACATTCTTTATACATTTTATGTGAATCTCTCTCTAATGATATTTCTCTTGAACAGTTTGTCCATCAGTCTGTGGTGAACCATCGGGAAAATGATTATCATCATTCTCATCTTCATCTAGGTCATGATCTACAAGACAGGGCATATTTCTACTCAGGCAAAAATTGTGCAGCTTGAAGCAGGCCATAATAATTTTGGAGCTTTTTGCTGGGGTGAAGGGAAGGCAGCCAGTGCTTTTGTGTAGACATCTGAAATTAGGAAATCCAAATTTAGAACAATGTGTGTGTGTGTGTGTGTGCATGTGTGTGAGTGAGAGAGAGAGAAATATATCTACATTTAACATATCACATTATTATATGATAATCATATAATAATTACAATATGATAAATAGATAAATGTGTTTTAATATTTTTTGAACTGTTGAAGGAATTACAATGCAATCAAATTTTCATTTCATTACTTTACATTTTTGTTCATTCATTAAACTTGCAAGGTCCATACCTGAATCTTGATTTTAAAACACCAAAGGCCCTTTCTACTACATTTCTTGTTCTGCAGTGGCAACTATTGTATCAGCTCTTCTGAAGTGTGTGTGCCTCTAGAATGGGGAGTCAAGAGCCATGAGCGACTTGGATATCTGACAGAACAGTAATGGAAAAGTGAACATAGTATTTATTATTTAGGTATTTACTTACAAAAGAAGAACATATCTTTATAGTGTTTAAATCAAACTATGTTATAGTAAACCTTTAAGATGTTACTTTCATAAATGGAGAATTGCTTATGGATGCTTACTTTTTAGTAATTACTAAAACTGATAGCAACTATCCAGGATGTAAAAGCATGTCAATCAGGTACAACAAATTGTATTGACACTAACCCTGAGTCACCTAGCAGCCAGCCATCTACAGGTTTTTTTTCCAGGTGTTGTCCCAGGGCAGAGCTAGACAGCACTGTTGCATCATGTGTTGCCCCAGGCCATCTACTAACCACATTAAGGAATCTAGAAATTAAACATATCTGTGGGTTAGTTCATTGGATATGACCAGTGTTGTAGTTTGATAAAATAAATATAAAAGTCCTTTACATTTTACATTTAAAAGTCACTATGTTTTTCAGACTGTTTACAAACAGTTTTGTAACTTCAGAATTACTTACAATTTTCATGTTATCATCAACTCTAAATCATTAGGTCTTTAGCATTTATTTGTGAAGATAAAAGTTACTTTTTCATATTTCAATGTATATACTTATTAGTTATTTTGCATCACTTCATTGTTTTCCCTAAAATATAACTGTAAATACATTTCTGCTTATATCTTTTTATCAGCTTGTAATGTACTAGTGACTAGATACCTTCTTATGCAATGTTCTAAATTTATTTTCCATGCAATGACAGTCACTCAAGTAATGATACCTGCTTAATTTGATCATCAGAAGCTTCATTGTGTATTTGCAAATGTATATAGGAAGTGTAAGTTTGTTTTAAGTATATTGTATGTAAATATGTTCTATGGGCCTGTGACCTGAAACTATGACATAAAGACATTAATCAGTTACTGTGTTTTCTTTTAAATCTTTTTCCATTTTAGGAGATCCATTTTTAAATGAACCACAACTAGGGGAACTTACTCCAGTTTGTTTGGGGATAGATCTAACGTTATTGACACATTGATAAAACATGGGAGGCGAAGTGAGGTGACTTCACTACTAAGTGTTGTACCTGAGTTTGTCATCGCGCACACAGCCTGTGCATTTATTGCATGATATCCTTTCCGGCACACGTAGGAGGGTTCCTCGTCACCAGTCGGAGCTTGGATAGGGATGAGCGTGCCGTCAATACATCCGAGAACTCGGGGAAACCAGCCAGTTTATGGAAACCTTCCTTCACAACGCTGCTCACTCACAGAGGTCGGAAAGTGGATATTGTCCAACGAATCACAAATGGCATCTGTGGTAGCATGCAGGATATGTGAAACACTTGGGATGCTAATACCATGCATTTGGCCAATCTCTGAATAAAACCCTCCTTTCGAATAAAAATCGCAGTGTTAAGCAGCATTTGGGTTTCTGGTGAAATCGGCACGGAACGCTTGGTGTCTCTTTGAAGGTAGGGACGAGTGAGATTAATTAGCTCAAAACAAGAGGCCCTGTCCATCACGATAGTTCATAAACAGTTCGTCGTCACTTACGATGTCCAGTAGCAATGTTCGATCCCGAAAAACACGCTGTTTTTGAATACTTTTCTTGCTGAGTTTCTCTTTTAACAACATATAATACGCCATTTTGTTTTAGACTTACGAGAATAAAGCTCATTTACGAGAGCAAATACTTACCGTAATTTTTCTCGAAAATTTAAGGTATCGTAAGCCTACGAGAGTTTCGTGAAACGCCCATAAAATCGTAAGATTGTGCTACGAGAAAAGTTACGAGATCTTAGGCCTACGAGAGCTTCGTGAAACGGGCCCCTGCCATGTACATGTATCATTGACATATTACTGTGTTGTAAAGATGACACTGTTTACATAGTTTGGCATGAAACTTGCATTTATCACAGTAAATTACATACTGGCATCCTCTGAACACAACATCTGGTTGGCAATAACATACACACAGAGGATATTTGGATAACAAGTACATAACATCTCATCATCGTCATCGATGGGACTGACAAATATTGTTATTCTTAGAAATATCAAAACTTTTTTGAATTTGTTGCTTAATGCCGCACTCAGCAATATTTCAGCTATATGACAGCGGTCCCTAAATAATCTAGTCTGGACCAGACAATCCAGAGATTGACATCCTGAGGATCGATCTTTGCATCTGGGAAACGATGATATGCATCAACCAAGTCAGTGGGCCCGACCACATGATATGCTGAAAACCAATCCAAACCTGGATCTTCATGAGTCTAATTTGAAATCAGAGGTTACATCATATACACAGTTATTATTCATTGTTTTCACATTTCATTATGATCTCCATTTTGAATCGTGAGATCAACCAATCTTTAACCTACCATAGGTCCCCAACAGATTGAGTCCTTTGGACCGCAAACATTTGTAACATTGGTAGGTGTCTGGCAAATGGACATACCTCCTCCATGATAGCTAGACAGTCCTCCTCTGCCTGCCGACAGTGAATGACCAGTGGCTTCTTCACGTCAAGGGCCAGCTGTAGCTGGTAAGCAAACATCTTCTTCTGTAGCACTTCATGTTGGCGAAATCTACAACAAACACCACCCATATTATCCTGACAAAGTGAGTGATTATGGGTCAGCAATATCACGATGAGGAGACACCAGAAATGGGCTTCACACATTGCACCTGTCCCATTTGGGGAATCAAACCCGGGGTGTTTGGTGTGACGAGCAAACGCTTTAACCACTAGGCTTCCACACCGCCCCAGCATGACTTGTGACTGTCAGGAGGCTACTGTTACAGTAGTTCTAGTTTGTCAATCATGTTTTCAAAGTGACCTCCATTTGTAGCAGTTCAGTCAAGACATCTCAAGTCTCTCTAGTCATAACTCACTGGGAAATTGAAATCCATTCCCTATTCCATCATTTCTACACTACAGTACTCAAATCATTGATATTTGGCTTAACAAAGGAAAACGAAAACAAACCAGATGCAGGAGTGATGGCGTCAACCAGTAATGAAGAGCAATATTCCACATTCAGTGTTTAAAAACCAGAGTGAGTGAGCGAATATGGGTTTATGCCACTTTTAGCAATATTCCATCAATATCACAGCGGGGGACACCAGAAATGGGCTTCACATATTGTGACCATGTGGGGAATCAAACCCGGGTCTTCGGCGTGACAAACAAACGCTTTAACCATCAGGCTACCCCACCGCCCTTAAAAACTAGAAAGGAGTCTGTCATGTTTGCAATACATGCAAAAACATCACTTATTTTGTCAAAAGCAGTTTGCATAATTTTGTCAACGTGGTTCTATGCATCTAGCTAACCTAAAAAGGATGGCTTTATTCGTGACCCACTCGTGTTATTCCGGGACAAGGCAAATAGCGACTCGGCCCCTCTGGAAGGATTTCATATTGGCGCACGAACATCAGAACTACTTTAAACAAGAACGATAACTCTATCCCTGTCTGATTCGAATGTTTCTAAAAATCACCGAAGCACATGTACATTGTATTGCTAGGTTGTTGTTTTGGGGTTTTTTTTACTTATTTATTTTAAAGAATTAAAGTGCACTGGTATGATGTGGGGTCTGAGAGCCTGGTCGATGTAGCGCACTGCTGTGATGTCGCCTCCTCTCCCTGGACCAAGGTTCTGGAACACCACAGGACCCACTCTCTGGTTCCACCCGATACCATGATGCTTGCACCTCCTCATGGGTATCTTTCCATAACACATTGGTCTGAGGAACGCAGGCCACATCGTGACCATATTCTTGTTCTGCCATCTGCAGTTGATACGCAGTACTGACTCTCATCTGTGAACAGAACACTTCTCCATTGCCTGTATCGCCAGTTTTGGTGTTGTAGGGCACTGTAGACGTTCACGCTGATGACGAGGGGTGAGGATAGGTCTACGGCAATGGAGGTTCCCGCTGTTAAGACGTCGGCGTACTGTATCAGTACTGATTGGTCTTCTGTGTGTTCCGACTGTCTGGCTTGCTGTTTCGGATACCTTTATGAAGGAATTCTGTACATGCTGTCGCACAACATGGTGGTCTTGTCGTCAAGTACGGGGGCGATCATTTGTGGTGTTATTGGCCTGGAAACGATGCTGCAGCCTGTAGATCGTCCGAATGTTGACCTGGAAGTGATTGGCAATGGCTTGTGCAGTGTGGCCAGCTTCAAGTCTTCCTAGCGCCTGGTTCCTCTGAGCTGCCGTGAGAAGGGGCATCCTGCTGACGTTGTAATGTGAATGTTTCAACCAGGTTTGTGGGTGCATTTCATAGGGCTGGTCCTTGTGAACAGCACGTGAAGCATGAGTTGCATGAAAAACATGGAGAACACCGTACCATCTCCGAGATCAGGTTGCGTTTTTGAGACCATTTCCTGGGTTCCATTCTGAGTTTGGGAAGGAATGTCTTTGCTCAGGTAAAGTTGGAGATGTTGTCAAAAATATACAATCAAAACATTAAATGAGTTTACAGTTATCCGTTTCTGTGAAGGAAAATTCCAAACTGACGTTTCTTTTGCTGCTTAGTATAGATGGAAAAGATTTGAATCTGTCATGGTTACCCTTATAATGTGCCTAATGCAATTAAAAGCACATCAACTCCACCATTTGTCAATTAGGAAATTGGTAAAATGAATACATCTAGATTAAAAAATATATGACTCTTTGAAAAACATAGATATTCATAAGACAGTCATAATTTTCCTAGACAGTAAGACTAAAAAGACATCTATTTGTTACAAATGTGCATTTTATGTTTACTCACGTTCCAGAGTAGTCCAGCCCTATCTCTCCAACTGCAATGACTCTTGGATGAAGAATGCACTGCTTGAGACCATCCACAGCCACTGTGTCAAAACTGGTGACATTCTTCGGATGGCAGCCCATGGCTAGCCACACCTTACTTTCCATCACCACATCCCGCCACATCCCACCTACACAAAAAGGCAGTGAACATCAAGGAATTGAATTCAGCGACTAGTCTGTAATTTTCACTATTTTTATGCAAGTGAGTCAGTATGGTTTTACGCCGCTTTTAGCAATATTCCAGCAATATTATGTTCTTGCATAATGGTTTATATCCATATTAAACTGGGACAGACAATACACAGCATTTACAAAAAAAATTCTTCACAAGATTTGTTTGTTATTAAATGCCACATTCAGTAATATACCAACAATCCATTGACACTGTAAGGGACCAATAGGCCATATTCACTAGAATGCTATGATTCAATCTAAATTAAACATCCTCATATTTTCATGAATAAATACTCACAAGCAACAATTTACCATAACTCCTTACAATCCTATCTAAATGTTATGAGACCAAGCAAGTTGTCTAACGCCACAGTCCCGTTCTATGATGTCAGAGCAATAGATGGATCATCACATCTGCTCTGATGGAAAGTCATAAAAAGGGCGGCAAAGATCATAATTACCTTTTGGGAGAAATGATGCTGGATTACAAAACACTGCCACGCAACCCTCAAAGGTGTCTGGGAATGTTTCTTCGTGTTTCAACATGTACTTGGCAAAGGTTCCTTTGAAGCCCTCCCTACTGAACAGGAAGTCTAAATGGCAGTGAGTGTCAATGAACCCTACTCCATAGCCTTTACACCGACTTTTCAGACGGATCTTCCAATCAAGTTGAGGAAAGTTTGCATTCAGTCGGGCATCATTGTGTAGGCGTGATGCATAAGAACTTCTTCTTGGAACAAATACCTCCGTGTCAGTCCTCAAAACAGAATCAGAGACACGTCTGTTCTTGGCAGCAAGGAAATAACTTGTACATGACTTGTCCCCACTTTGCTCCTCAACCCTTTCTGTAATTTGATCAAGAACTGGTGCTGGTGCTGATGTTGTCCTGCTTCTGAACGATGTAGTCTGCTGGCTTCTGTATGGGAAGCGAGTAGAAGTAGACGTAGGACTAGTCATGGTTGTGGAGCCTGTATTCATAGATGGGCTCACGTTTGTTGGACTAGTGGTACTTGATGGAGGGGGATAGGACATGAATCCTGGGGAGTAGTTGCTTGGGTATGATGGAAGCCACTGAGGGGGATAAAATGCAGGCACAGGGAAGCTCATCCTGGGATCTCCCCAGTATGGCGGACACACTGGCATTGGAGGTGGTGGAGATGGAGTGGATAGTAGTGGGTTGGTTTCCGTCTCATTTCTTGACTCAAGCGGTTCATGACTACATTCGTGAACAGAGGTATGGGCATCCCTCTTCAATGACTCGGGACTCTTCCCAATGGCCCATCTAGACCAGTGACCTGGAGGGATTAACTGAGGAATATGTGTCTTCTTACAACAGTTTCCTGTTTCATCATACTTAGGAATGACTTTTTGAAAGTTCTCATAAGGATAGTGTCCAGCTGGTTTCATCTCCTCTCTGATAACTGCTGGAATATTTTCTTTCCTGTCACGTGTTTCCAACTCATGAGTTTCTTCAAAGTCTGGATTGTCAGTAATATACCGATTCCTCCTCATCTGACTCCACAGCTCAGGCTTTCTTCCTTTAGCGTTTCGGCTTTCATCATTTATCAAACCTTGAGTAAGGTTTCTCTTTGCATCATCGAAAGAGGACATCTTACACTGTTCTATCATCTGTCTCCGTGTCTTCTCCCAAACCTTTTCTCTGTTCAAGATCTCAAGTTCTTGTTCATCATACGACCTTCCCTTGTTCCAGTCCACACAAACACCAGGCATGGCATTGGCAGGTTTGGGAGCACTAAGATTGTGAAGCTTCTTTCCAGACACCCTCAGAGTTTCTGGTAAGGATCTCTTGTTCCCAGTAACACATGACGCATACAACATTCGTCCAGGTTCTGCACCAACATAGTTCTGATGGCCAGTACTGTTATAATTCGGATCAACCATATGCTTGCTTGCAAGTCTGGCCATGACCTCATCCTCACTACTTGATTCATAGTCCACAATTCTGTGATCCCTTGTACCTACAGGAGGAACTGGATGAGCTGACTGGCACTCATCAGTGGGCATTGTCGAGTCCACTCCTTCCCCTGAAAAATAGGGAGAATTTATCATAAATGTAATTTTTAGAGTAAAATTGATATTTTATACTTATCCTGACTCATGCTCTTTTGCTTGCTTGTCTTCTTCTTCTTGCGAACATAGTGGAACACTTGTATCTCCTTATTTGAAGCTCCCTTCAAAATAAAATCACTAATTGGTACTCACCACGAGTTGCTCCCCTTTGTCTCCCCTGGCGGGAAAAGGTGTCGCCACCCTCTGGCCATGTGCTCCACTCTCTCCTGATTTAGCGAGCCCAACACTTGAATTTACAGGGAAATCCAAAGTGTTATGTGGGGAGGATGGGAGGGCTAACCTCATGAGTCAGGATAAGTATAAAATATCAATTTTACTCTAAAAATTACATATTTTCCTTATCCTGACTCATGCTCTTTTGCTTGTAGCATCCTACGGAACGGAGGTGGGTAACAGAATACTTTGGATTTATAATTAGTGATTTGTATAGATATACTGTAATATCCCCTACGGGAACTTCATGAAGGCTTAGATTTAGGATGTTTCCTGTATAAAGAAAACCATAGGTTATATAAAGCCATTAAAGGGGAATTACATTATGAATATATTGAACAATACATATAAATTATATATATATATATATAGGTGACTCTGATAGAGGCACTGAAATGACTATATCAAGTATATGCTTAAGGTTGAATACTTAAGCTGAACATATATACATAGCCCTAAAACTCCGTGAGAGTTATAAGCTAGATGAGTATGTATAAAGTACATATTAATCTTGTGAGGATAATATTTTAACGTCTCTGAGGGACTGTCAGTTGCTGGCGAGGACCAGTGGTCCGAAATGGTGAATGCCAGAGACATCTTCTGTAGTGATGTCTCTTAGGTAGTGATTAGCAAATACCATGTTAGATTTCCAATAGCATCCTTCCATAATCGTGTTCAAGGAACAGTTACCGTGTAGAGGCGAGGGTAGAGGCCAGTGCCCTGATCTCATGTGGATTTGATGCTGTTGGTGGGTCCAAGCCTGCTGCCTTGTAGGCACGGAGAATGACAGTCCTTATCCAAATAGATATTGTGGTCCGTGACACTTCTGTTTGATTCAGTGGGCGATAAGGGGATGAATAAGCGTTTGAGAAATCTTCTCCTTGTTTTGGATCGTCGTAAATAAACTTTTAGCTCTTACGGACACAGTGATAGGTCTTGTGTATCTTGTGATCCGAGAATAGAGGATAGCCGGGATGTGGAATAATCTGTCTGGTTGACCTGGCAGTTGATTTTTGCAATGAAATCCCATCTTAATCCGAGGTGCGCTGTGTTATGATTGTCATCAAACTGTATCCTCTCAGTAATCCAGAGCGTGAATTTCAGACATTCTTGCTGCTGTGGCTAGCGATAGCAGAAACAATGTTTTCTGTGAGAGAAATTCAAAGTTTGTCGATTCCAAAGGTTCATAGACCTCACTCGTGAGGTGTTGTAACACTACATTCAGATCCCAAGCTGGGCGTGGAACTTCCGCTTTTGGTCCTCCAATCGGAAAGCTCGTGAGTAAGGCCAGTAACTCTGGAGATCTTGTCAACTTGACACCCGTTCTCATGGTGATTACAGAGCTAAGCGGCAAGATATGTTGATATCGTTGAACCTTTTAAATGTTTGTTTTGGCGTAGGTAACACAAATAGTCTGCCACTTGAGGTTGTGAAGCCTCTCTTGCTGTAAACCCTTTCTTTGTTGCATAATTTTTGAAACTGTGCCACTTGTCGTCGCGTACAAGTTACGAAGTTGAGTAACGTAAGGCAAGCGTGACTGCTTTTGCCGCCCTGGCAGAATATCCTCTCTTGTTTAAACACATTTGTATACAGTCCATAATGTGTAGTTGGAACATTGCTGGGTTTCCGTGCACTTGTTTGGTGTGAGGATGAATTAACAGGTTTTGCGCTTGGGTAGCTCCAGTGTTGGTTGACCGATTTCTTGAATTAGTATGGGAAACCACGTTCTGGCCGGCCAGTAGGAAGCGACCAAAGTGAGTTGTAGGCTCTGTGTTTGTCTGATTTTCTGTAATACTTGGGGTATTATTGCTGGCGGCGGAAACGCTGCACGCATTGAGGCCTTCCCATGATAGACTTAGCGTCCGTTGCCCAAGCTTGGGGTCTGGGACTGGTGACACGAATGTCGGTAGCTGATTGTTGAATCGGCGTGGCGAATAGGTCTATTAGCGGGCTCCTAATTGCTTGATTATCTGTGCAAAAATTTCCTGTTGATCATCCACTCTGTCGGTGATGGTAGATGAGGCCGAGAGAGCGTCTGCTAGTATATTTCTGGCTCCGGGGAATGTGCACTGCTCTGACATGTAGATTTAGATCTTGTATTAAATCGAACAGTTGAAAGCTTAGGTTCAAAAGGTTCATCGATCTCGTTGAGCCTTGCTTGTTTATGTAGAACGCCACTGTCGAATTGTCTGTATGGATCATTAGGCGGCATTTTGTAGAAATGTGCTCCAATGTAGAATGGCGTTGATTACAGCTTTCATTTCTAGACTGTTTATATGGAGTTTGCATTCTTGCTGATTCCATAACCCTGATATCGTGTGGTTGGTGAGATGAGCTCCCCAACCTTGGAGTGACGGCGATCTACATACAGATGGGTTTTGTATTCCTGCTCTGCTAAACAAATCCCTTCGCAGACATTCGATTTCTTGGTCCACCATAGTAGATGCGGTCTGAGATGTTTCGGTAGACTGAATGGTTGTACATCGTTGAGATGTGCGTTGATGAGGACCTGTAGGGGACGTAACTGTAATCTGCCTGTGACAGTCATGTCTTGGGCTGATGTGAGAAGACCTAGTAGGCTCTGCCATTGTCGCAGTGGTAACGGAGAGAGTAGAGCTGGTGGAATGGTCTGTTGTATCTTGAGCCAACGGTCTTCTGGTACCATAATACGGTTGCGATTTGTGATGAATCGAATACCTAGGAACTGTAGGTCTTGCGATGGTACTAGGTCCGACTTGCGTAAGTTTACTAACCAACCTAGTTGTGTTAGTAGCTTTATGATGTAATTTAACTGTAGTTTGAGACGCAGTGGATCTTGATCTACTTGTATCCCGTCGTCGAGGTAAAACGCACTGCGTAGCCCTTGACGATGTAGAAATTTGATAATCGGTTTCGTTATCCTCGTGAATAGCCAGGGGGCTGATGATATTCCGAATGGGAGTACTTTCCACTGGTAATGTAGCCCTTCTAGAGTAAATCGTAGGTATTTCCTGGAATCGGGATGAATGGGGATGTGCAAGTAGGCATCCTGTAGATCTATGCTGCCCATGTAGTCCATAGGATCGAATCATCTGGCGTAACTGAGGTAAATGTATCATGCGAAACTTCGTGGTTTGCGTGAGATAGTTCTTGTTGAAAAACTCATGTTGTAGATGAGTCTGTATTTCTCCGTGGAGTTTTTCTTGGGAACTAGGAAAACTGGGGAGTAGAAACCTGGTTCGACGTTTGCTTGATCTATTACTTCTATGGCCTGTTTGGATAGGAGTGATGAAACAGCCTCTTTTATCTTTGGTAGTTGTTGCGCTTGTAAATCGAACTTGGGGGGTTTGATTGTCAGCGGAGGCTTGGCCTGTAGAGGGATACGAAATCCGTGTTGAATAATGTTGGAGACGTAAGGGTCTTGCAGTATTCCCCAGTTTTCCCAGTGTAGTTGGAGGCGTCCACCCACTTGAGCTGGTTGTACTGGAACGGCTGGGGGTGGAAGACTCCAGTCGTTCCGAACCTGTGTTTCAGCGTCTATAATTGCGGGAACCTCTGGGTGTCCTGCCTCTTCCTGATCCTCCTCTATAGTTGCCATATGGGCGAATTTAAAAGAATCTTTACCTCTAGAGCTGGCTATCTTCCTGTCTCTTGCTCTTTGTAGGCCCGTGAACTTAGATCTGCCTGAGTATCTTTGTGAAGTCTGACGAATGACGCTGGCTAGTGTGTCCATCGATCTAATCATAAGGACTTCCCTGGAATCCTTAGAGACTTCCTTGGCGACTTTGTCGATTTCTCCGTCAAAGATGGATGTTGTCGACCACGGGCTGTATAAAGTGGGGCTGTAAAGTTCTCCCCAATTACAGGAGGCGAGGAGGAGGCCTTGACGACGAAGCTAAGGTCAGTGCTGCTGAAACAGATGTAAGATGATCCGTTAAAACTGCTGATCTTTCTTTGCATAAGTAAGGCAGAATAAATCATTCTATCATCTTCCGTCGTGGAATCCCGGAATCTAGTAATAAGAGTCTCATTGATCGTCCTAGATCTATTTAACCCAAAGAACATACGCCTCGCCATGGTTTCTATATGAGCCAACTTGCGATCATCCATCTTGTAAATCTTGTTCTTTACATCGCTGATGATCTTATAGTTCTCATCGATGTCCTGGGCCTTGTAGAAGGAGTCCATGTTATCGTGGAGAACTTCTTGGCTTGAAAGTTGGGCAGATGTGGTATCTGAACTTTCGTAGCTTTCTGGAAAGCTGCATCTAGATTCTGTGGCACTGCCGCAATCGGGTCGATCGGGGTAGAGTGATTGCATCTGGATCATCTTCCTTCATCAAATACGCCTGAGCTGTATTGCCACTTTTAGATGGTGATGTGAGATCTAGGCTATTGACCATCCAATACCGTGATCTCTGCATCAGAAAATATGATTCCTCCATCATCCTCAAAACCATCATCATTAATAAATTGTAGATGCTCTTCGACCGCGGTAGCTGTCTGTATATCTGATGAGGTTTGTGGCGATCTAGTTGACTTGTCGCCGCTTCTATGTGGAGATCTGATGGGTGATCGACCTGGTGATGAACGGAGTGGAGATCGCCTATGGGATGATCTTCTCGAGACTTGTGAGGTGAATGTTGATAGCTTCGCCAAGCTCTTCGGCAGTCCCTCGATGTTCTTCTAGACGATGAAGATCTGGAATCATATGTCCTTTCGCGAATGCCTTCGCGAAGCTTCATTTGCGTCCGGTCCGGGGGATCGATGATATGACCTTCGCGAAGGCTTCCGTGATGTCTGATGGTCTGAGTCCATATCTAGAGATGAAATCGAAGATGGTGATGATCTCTCCCGCCTTCGCTAAGGCCTTCGCGAAGGCTGTACATCTAGGTCCTTCGTCAAGGTGGTGCGGGACTTCCTTCGCGAAGGTGACATCGTCTTGGCTGCTACGCTGACGGGGGTGCCTCTGGGGTGCTGTTCACGCTGGAGCCTTCGGCTAAGGCTCGGACTTCGCTTGGCGCAGTTTGTAGTGGTCCTCCATGATGTTCATAATCTGCCGCATCATGTCTTCTGGGATGATCTGTGACGAAGTCGCCGGGCGCCTTTTCTGCGATGGGGTTCACATCAATGACGCCTGACGCCGGGTGTAGAGGCATCAGGCTGCATGGAGATCTCTGCAGAAGTCACAGTCGCTGACACCGGTCGCTTCTTCTGCCGTAAGTCGGGATGATTATCGGCTGATCATCGAGAGGCCCAACTCTGCTGCTGGAACGATCTCGGCTGAGAAAGTTCTTGCTGTCTTCGTGAGATTTCCCTTTGGAAGTCTGCGCTGCCCTGGGTGTCCCTCAATCTGCGCTTGAGACGACGATGAGGCCCTCTTAGACTTAGTCTGCAATGACGGGATGTCTGGGGAGGCCGGTCGCTTCTTCGAGGTAACGGATCAAGCGCCCCATCGCCTCTGCCGCAGGGGTCTCTAGCAGAACACCAGACGGAGAGGGTCGATCGCTAGCAGCTGACTGGAAGGAATATCTGGACTCTCTGCCATGTTTTGCCCCTTGTTTGCGTGGATCTATCTGCAGCACGCCTTAAGACGCAAAGATGATATTTATTAAATGCAGAATGAGATAAATTAATGCAGTAACTGCAACGGAATTAAACGCGACACGGCGAGAACAACTAGGGCATATTACATGTGGATCGGAGGCAGAAAAACGTAATCTACAAATCGCATAGATTTTCATGAACGAAGTTAGCTGAACAATCACTTAATACACGGAATAAACAGTAGAAATACGATAATTAATCAATACAAATAGTAAAGGATACTAGCTATACCTCTATAGTAACCTATGAGAGGTAAAAACTAAGAGATTATCAAAGGATATGTGTGTAAGGAGACACAAGGCCTCACATCCTGCTCACTGGGCTAAGAAGGAGAGAGTGGAGCACATGGCCAGAGGGTGGCGACACCTTTTCCGCCAGGGAGACAAAGGGGAGCAACTCGTGGTGAGTACCAATTAGTGATTTTATTTTGAAGGGAGCTTCAAATAAGGAGATACAAGTGTTCCACTATGTTCTAAGAAGAAGAAGAAGAAGACAAGCAAAAGAGCATGAGTCAGGATAAGGAAAAAGGAGTGAAGAAATACAGCACAGAACCTACTTATATACATGTAACAGGGATTAAGTAAAATAACATGAGAGTAAACATATAATAAAAGAGTTGTTATCCATAAAGTATCATACTTTTCTTATCATTCACTAAACTTCTAAAATGCCAATCCAACAGATAGATTTAAAAAAACAAAATGTCTGCATATTTGGCATTATGGTAGACTGGAGATAAAAATGATGAGCTTACTGTGTAGAGCTGAACATGTTGCATCCAAACACAATCTTTCAAAGAGTTTTAGCAATATCATGGCGGGGACACCAGAAATGGGCTTCACACACTGTACCAATGTGGGGAATCAAACCTGGGTCTTCGGGTGTGATGAGCGGACGCTTTAACCATCAGGCTACCCCACCACCCCAATGATAATTAAACATTTAGAGAACAAATCACGAGAATTTAGACAATGGATTAGTGCAAAGGACAAATCAAGCTTCAAATTTAAGCCATAAGTGGATGAATGTATCTATTATGCAAGTTTAAGTAGCATTTACTTAAAAAATCAACCAGATTTAACTATTATCATTTAATTGCTAAAAAGTAGAAAATGACATATATCAATTATATCAAAACAATTCCTTTTATTCTGACACTATACCTCTAGAGTAAATGGTGTAGACGACTGCATCACTAAGATGTTTGAAACTATTTCCATAGTTATGGTGCTCACTAACCCAGAGGTATAATCATGGATTTGAATCCATTATCACACAACTGTACACATTTCCATTCACAGCCCCTACCTAACAAATCAGGTTATTAGGAAACAATTACTCATAGCATTCTACAGACACTGACTTATAACTAAGGTGAGCAAAACTTAAACCAGACAGGCTGCCACATGGAAAAACGCCACCAACTGGGTAACTGTATGGAGCTTAAGAATATACATTTTTTTCATCGTGACAATTAACTCAAATTCACATGTATTGGTTACTGTAAATCTTGAAATTAATGTGTCTTAATATCAATGTGATTGCAGACGAATATTAATGACCGCAGTTTAATATTATCGTGAATGCAGACCAATAGGCAAAGTGTGACTATGTAATATGACTCCCCTTAGTGGTATATGTAGGTATAAAATGGCTTCTGTGATATTTACAGGAGATGTATAATATCCTAATGTTAATCCAAAAACTGCTGCTCAATAAACCATGATGTGGAATAGAGTTATTTGATTTATTATTTAAGTTAGTATTTCCGCTATCCAGAGTCATTTTTGAAATATACTGAAAAGCAAAAGAAACGTCGTAATATTGGAAATTACACTTAAGTATCAATGGAGTATTTGAACCTATTTTTTCTAAAATACACTGGAAGTGAAGTTTGAGAAAAACATGAATCGTGGTCGTATAGCCTGTATTGTCCAGTAAAGTATTGTTTAGGTTTTTGTTTGTGGCATCAATTGCCAGCTTGAATGGCAACCGTTAACTTGTTTTCTGACCACAGCAGCTATGGCTAGGTTAACGAGAGGTGTTGATGGACGATGTGACAGTCCTGGAGACGTGTTGTTACACGGGTGTCGACCACTACGTGGACAGTCATCAGTGTTGTTGGTGGCGTTGTATCGCTGTCAAAGACATTCTATCGTTCGTACGCTGCAACTGAAGTCATGAGCAATGACTCGAGCACGTTGACCAGCGTCTAGATGTCCAATGGCTTGTTGTCGTTGATCTCTCGTTAACCTAGCCATAGCTGCTATTTTCAGAAATAGCAGTGAACGACTGCCATTCAAGCTGGCAATTTATGCCTGAATGCATGCATGATGCTCACGCATCTCAATTTCAATGTTGTGTTTGTGCGAATTCTTCCCTTTCCACAAACAAAAACATTTCAAACCTCAATCTAAAACAATACTTTATTGGGCAATACAGGCTATAATGAGCACGCGATTCCTGTTTTCCTCAAACTTGCCTTCTGGTGTATATTTAAGAAAAAAATAGGATCAAATACTCCATTCATACTTAAATGTCAATTCCAATATTACAACGTTTTTTGCCTTTCAGCATGTTCAGTATATAACTGAACATTATAATTAATGAGAGCCAAGACCACTAGACCTCTTTGCATTTAATTAACTCATGCATTAATTTCAAGATTGACAGTATCATGATAACTTACAACTATGTGTGTATGAATAAGGATAGCCACTCTGATAACTATGCCAGAGGCTGTCGTGAGTAAGCCTGGAGTCTGCTGGGTGACATGTTGGGATCATACATTTCGTGATCTTGGATCCATGAAAGGCGCCCACCCGTAAGGCCAGGACCAAGGATAGCCTCCTCCATGATTTTGGGGATGGTGATGATTCATTCCAACATGAAGCTCCTGTCTGTCAGGGTTCTGAATGACATTGAACCAAACATTCCCTTCCGCTCCTGGTGGCTGTTCCTTGCTTCCATGGGAAACATTTGATGGCCAAGATCAACATTTGCAATATATTCCATAAGCTTCTCAATCGACATCTTGATTTAATGTTCTCTAATGGAATACACAGAAAGGGAAATTATTCTGCGGAGGAGTATCCTGGATGTGGTAACTCAAGTCTTGAGACAGCTGTTCTCTTGAATGGGTTTCATGTTGTTGTTCCTTGGTGAATTTGCTTTTGCAAATTCCTTGGCAAGTCCTGATCAACATCTCCAAAAGAAGTGGATCCTTCCTCTCTTCTTTTCCCCTCATTTTCTGACTGCATATGGCATATACATGTAGGCGCATGGTCACAGTAGTCTTCTTGAGAAAGGAAATTGTACTTGACATTATCATTTACAGACTCAATTCTGCCAATGATGGAACCTTGTGAATCTAAGTCTGACACACAGCAATGATCACTTGCCGTATCAGAACTGTCATCTACAAAGCCAGTATATTGTCTGGATCCAGTATCCACTATTGGGTTCCTTACTTCTATGTCTCTGTCATTATCACCCCCTTCTGTAAGAAAAGCTTGGAAACTTCCATCAGAATCATCACTTTGATTCGACTGAGACAGACGGGAACTTTCACCCAAAGGACAGTCTGGATCAGACACTTGATTAACTGGTTGACTAGGTTGATCATTTTGATGTGGATTGTCATATTCCTCAGGTATAGATAAATTCTTCCCACTTTCTGGAGATGTACTTGCTGAGGATGGAACTGACATGAGATCAGTGGACCAATCCTCACATTCCACACCAGTCAGTGTGACATCAAGACAATCATAAACTTCGGCAAAGACAGATGCATACTGATCAGAATGAAAACTTTCATTTTCACCTTTAAAGGCTTCAGTTTTCACTGTTCTTATATCTTGCTCCGAGCTGGATAAAGAATCACTGTCCTTTTCTGATATCCTAAACTTTTCCTCCTGTATATCTGAAGTAATGTCCAACATCGAAGCATCAGCGTCAGTCGACGGAACAGTTGACCTTGAAGCCACTACCATAAGTTCTGAGGACCAGTCTTCATCATTACTTCCTTCATTACTAGCATAGTTGTGTGAAAGGTTATTCGGGAGCTGGGAGTCAATCTGGTCAGTATTATCATTTTCTTTCAGTTGTAACAAATGTTTTCCGTCATCTTCCTTTGTATCAGAAAACTTGTGTGTCTTCCTTTGACACATTATCCTTGACCTTATTTTGTGGCATTCCATCCTTTATAGGTTTCTTGTGTACCTTTTCATCCTCTTATGTAGTCTTCTCAAAAAGTTGTCTATAGCGTCTGGCTGTCTTTACTTTCTGAAAACCACAAGGCTTGTCATATGTATCCGTTTTCTTCTCTAACTTTTCTCCTCTAACTTTTGAACTCTCCTCTTCATTAGATTGCTTCTGAGCAATGCTACTTACTGAACAGCAGGTATGATCTGGTTCTTCATCCTGAACATGGATGTCATGAGATGTGGCTGTTCTGTCACAGATATCAATGCTGGATTTCTTACTGCCTAAACCAACTATAGGGTGACACTACCACCATCACCAACACCTGAACTGACCACTCCACTGTCATAACAATCATCACTTCTACCAGAATCAACATCCAGTAGGTCTGATCCCCAGTCTTCCATTTTCTTCAGAGAGTCCCGTTTGTTCTTCTGCAATTTAGGGTTATTTTCTTTCCCTGCAAACTGTGACCAGATAAATTATCCAGTGAATGTGTTTTTGATACACTGGGAGTTGCTTTTGTTCCTGAATATCTTGTTTTATCACCGTGTTCTCATACTTATTTCTAGTCCTAATTGACAGGATCTGACCTAGATTTTCTCCATCACCACTTAAGTTCTTTTTCGATATGGCTTCGGATCTAGGTGAGGTATGAGGCGCAGTGCCATTATTTGGATCTTCAGAACTGCTGACTTTACTTTCTGGAGGTTTGGTTTTGGATGGCTTATTGTTCTTTGCAGCATCTTGCACGGACTTGGCAAATATTCTCAAAATGCCTCCAAGATGCCTCCTTGATACGGGCAGCTGTTCCATGCCAGGCTGTTAAAGTATTGTTTAGGTTTTGTTTGTGGCATCAATTGCCAGCTTGAATGGCAACCGTTAACTTGTTTTCTGACCACAGCAGCTATGGCTAGGTTAACGAGAGGTGTTGATGGACGATGTGACAGTCCTGGAGACGTGTTGTTACACGGGTGTCGACCACTACGTGGACAGTCATCAGTGTTGTTGGTGGCGTTGTATCGCTGTCAAAGACATTCTATCGTTCGTACGCTGCAACTGAAGTCATGAGCAATGACTCGAGCACGTTGACCAGCGTCTAGATGTCCAATGGCTTGTTGTCGTTGATCTCTCGTTAACCTAGCCATAGCTGCTATTTTCAGAAATAGCAGTGAACGACTGCCATTCAAGCTGGCAATTTATGCCTGAATGCATGCATGATGCTCACGCATCTCAATTTCAATGTTGTGTTTGTGCGAATTCTTCCCTTTCCACAAACAAAAACATTTCAAACCTCAATCTAAAACAATACTTTATTGGGCAATACAGGCTATACGAGCACGGTTCCTGTTTTCCTCAAACTTGCCTTCTGGTGTATATTTAAGAAAAAATAGGATCAAATACTCCATTCATACTTAAATGTCAATTCCAATATTACAACGTTTTTTTTGCCTTTCAGCATGTTCAGTATATAACTGAACATTATAATTAATGAGAGCCAAGACCACTAGACCTCTTTGCATTTAATTAACTCATGCATTAATTTCAAGATTGACAGTATCATGATAACTTACAACTATGTGTGTATGAATAAGGATAGCCACTCTGATAACTATGCCAGAGGCTGTCGTAGTAAGCCTGGAGTCTGCTGGGTGACATGTTGGGATCATACATTTCGTATCTTGGATCCATGAAAGGCGTCCACCCGTAAGGCCAGGACCAAGGATAGCCTCCTCCATGATTTTGGGGATGGTGATGATTCATTCCAACATGAAGCTCCTGTCTGTCAGGGTTCTGAATGACATTGAACCAAACATTCCCTTTCCGCTCCTGGTGGCTGTTCCTTGCTTCCATGGGAAACATTTGATGGCCAAGATCAACATTTGCAATATATTCCATAAGCTTCTCAATCGACGCTCTTGATTTAATGTTCTCTAATGGAATACACAGAAAAGGGAAATTATTCTGCGGAGGAGTATCCTGGATGTGGTAACTCAAGTCTTGAGACAGCTGTTCTCTTGAATGGGTTTCATGTTGCTGTTCCTTGGTGAATTTGCTTTGCAAATTCCTTGGCAAGTCCTGATCAACATCTCCAAAAGAAGTGGATCCTTCCTCTCTTCTTTTCCCCTCATTTTCTGACTGCATATGGCATATACATGTAGGCGCATGGTCACAGTAGTCTTCTTGAGAAAGGAAATTGTACTTGACATTATCATTTACAGACTCAATTCTGCCAATGATGGAACCTTGTGAATCTAAGTCTGACACACAGCAATGATCACTTGCCGTATCAGAACTGTCATCTACAAAGCCAGTATATTGTCTGGATCCAGTATCCACTATTGGGTTCCTTACTTCTATGTCTCTGTCATTATCACCCCCCTTCTGTAAGAAAAGCTTGGAAACTTCCATCAGAATCATCACTTTGATTCGACTGAGACAGACGGGAACTTTCACCCAAAGGACAGTCTGGATCAGACACTTGATTAACTGGTTGACTAGGTTGATCATTTTGATGTGGATTGTCATATTCCTCAGGTATAGATAAATTCTTCCCACTTTCTGGAGATGTACTTGCTGAGGATGGAACTGACATGAGATCAGTGGACCAATCCTCACATTCCACACCAGTCAGTGTGACATCAAGACAATCATAAACTTCCGGCAAAGACAGATGCATACTGATCAGAATGAAAACTTTCATTTTCACCTTTAAAGGCTTCAGTTTTCACTGTTCTTATATCTTGCTCCGAGCTGGATAAAGAATCACTGTCCTTTTCTGATATCCTAAACTTTTCCTCCTGTATATCTGAAGTAATGTCCAACATCGAAGCATCAGCGTCAGTCGACGGAACAGTTGACCTTGAAGCCACTACCATAAGTTCTGAGGACCAGTCTTCATCATTACTTCCTTCATTACTAGCATAGTTGTGTGAAAGGTTATTCGGGAGCTGGGAGTCAATCTGGTCAGTATTATCATTTTCTTTCAGTTGTAACAAATGTTTTCCGTCATCTTCCTTTGTATCAGAAAACTTGTGTGTCTTCCTTTGACACGTATCCTTGACCTTATTTTGTGGCATTCCATCCTTTATAGGTTTCTTGTGTACCTTTTCATCCTCTTGCGTAGTCTTCTCAAAAAAGTTGTCTATAGCGTCTGGCTGTCTTACTTTCTGAAAACCACAAGGCTTGTCATATGTATCCGTTTTCTTCTCTAACTTTTCTCCTCTAACTTTTGAACTCTCCTCTTCATTAGATTGCTTCTGAGCAATGCTACTTACTGAACAGCAGGTATGATCTGGTTCTTCATCCTGAACATGGATGTCATGAGATGTGGCTGTTCTGTCACAGATATCAATGCTGGATTTCTTACTGCCTAAACCAACTATAGGGGTGACACTACCACCATCACCAACACCTGAACTGACCACTCCACTGTCATAACAATCATCACTTCTACCAGAATCAACATCCAGTAGGTCTGATCCCCAGTCTTCCATTTTCTTCAGAGAGTCCCGTTTGTTCTTCTGCAATTTAGGGTTATTTTCTTTCCCCTGCAAACTGTGACCAGATAAATTATCCAGTGAATGTGTTTTTGATACACTGGGA